TTAAAATCCATTCCAGGTGTTTCTAGGGATGGCATAAGTAGCACAGTAACAAACGGTCCCACCTCTCTTACAGAAAGAAGAACTCCCAGGACCCACCAAGTTCGAAATCTATGAGTTCAGGTTCTCCGATTTTGACTGCACCGAGCTAGAGTTGGTGAAGTGTGGCATTCAGATGTACTATGAGCTCGGCGTGGTGAAAAAGTTCCAGATCCCACAGGAGGTAGGAGCTGGCCACACCCAGGGACTCCCATCTTGGATGGCCAGCAGACTCGCCACGTGGCTGAGGTCCCCGTGCGTGCCCTGCGCAGCTCACGGAGGGGCCAGAGGTCTGGGCTTGCAGGGAGAGGGGCATGTGTCCTGAGCCCCCTCGTCCCGCTTAGGGCAGGGAACCCCCTCTCAAAGTCCCTGGTCGCTACATGCAGGTTTGGAGCGTGAAGCTGGCCTCTTCTGCTCTGCACTGTCTGCTACAGGTGTGGGTTTGCTGTAGGGTCTATGTAGATGGGAGCTACACCATGCAAAAAATTACTTTCACTTGCTGTGTCTAACGCCGCTCACAGCCACCGTGTAAAAGCACAGTTTCCAGGTGTAACATGGGGCAGTGCACGCTTGTGAGCGTGTTTCGTTTGCTATAGTATGTACCCTATAGCTTTCAGCCAACATCCGCTGAAACCCATGCTGGAAGCTCCCTTCGCTTTTCTTCCCCCTGGAAACACGGACGTGCCTTCCTTTGGTGCCGTTGGTACCAAATTCCTGACTGCTGGCGACAGGAGTGGTGTGACCCTGTGGGAACAAGGAACCTCATAGCCCCTGGTGTGCAAGCTCACGGCTTTTGTCACAGTTCGAGCCCCTGTAGGACTCGTGAAACTGGCGTTCCAGCAGCAACGCTGCTCCCCGAAGGGTTTCTCAGCGCATCATCTGAGGTTTATTTCCATCTAGTGGGATCTGGACGTAACTGCAGGAAGAGTTTTCACCCTGGAAAGGCAGGCTGGGGGGCAGAAGGAAAGTGGAGGACTCTGAATGGGAATTAATTACTTCTGTGTTTCTTACTTATAACATGAATGTCAAAAAATATTCAAAATATCTACTCCGGAACAACTAACCCCTGATACAGGTGTGAAAAGCAGTCGTTCTTTGCTGCCACTCTGAGCAGTTGAGATTTTAAAAAATAAATACTCATCCATGATTAATTTGCTCTCTAATGAGAAAACCTATATAGCTACAAGAGGTAGTACACGTGGAGAAGTAGAATGCAGAGGGAAAAAACAGTTTGTTATTTAATGCCCTCCATTGTAATTGTTTAGGTGATATAAACACCACCCACCTCTACATCTATGGAGCCATGTATTTTGAAGAGAGATATCAGTATTAGTAAATCACAAGACATGGGAGGGACAAATCTTATGAGTGACAACATAGAGAAACACATAAATTTGATAAATTCACAAACAGTAGGATGAAATCTCCTTTCCTCTAGACATTGCTGTTTCTTGTTTCCGCCACAGGTATCTCTGTGATTTTCTTTTTCTTTAAAAAAAAAAAAAAAGTAAATATATTAGAAAGCAAAGAGCTGTATTTTAGTGTCCCCTTTAGCTCTCCACTAGGCTTTACTATAACAACACTGTCAGGGAAGCCTGATGATATTACAGCTTCTGGTTCTTTTCTGGGTTCACCTCTGTAGAGCTCGTCTGAATCTCATCCATGACTTCTGCACGTGGTCTTTATCGCAAGAGCAACAGGCAGCAGCTTCATCACACAAACTAACATCCTCTTCCCCAATTTGCAGGTTCTGGTAAGGTTTGTGTACTCCGTCAGCAAAGGCTACCGGAAGATAACTTACCACAACTGGCGCCATGGCTTCAACGTCGCGCAGACCATGTTCACACTCCTGATGGTAAGGTAACAACACCCCAGTAAGTTCTGTGGCATGGCTTTTTTTACAGGAGGTCTTCTGTTGCACCCTGCAGATATGCAGGGCTTCCTTTGAATCCTGGTGTAGGATAAGAGTTTGTCACTCCTAGTACAGGTCCTGCTAAATGAGGTCTCCATTTGCCTTAAGTGACAGTCCTTGCATTATACTTAAAGCTGTAGACAATTCTGCCCAATGAATGGAGTGCTTTAATTCTCTTAGGTACAGACGTGTATAGAGTTGAATAGCCTCCAGATTAAATCCTTCTGCAGGGTAGGGGGGAGAGGCTACAGGACTTCCCTTTCTCCAACAGTTTCTGACAGTAAGAGCCAGACTGAAGTTAGCTGGCTGGAATAGACACAACCTCACACTTTCCATTTCCAGGCAGGACAGGCACAGGTGTAAGTCTATCGCTAGTGTGAATGTGGCAAGTGCCATTTCTCACAGGCTCTCAGGGCAACAGATCCCCCAACAAGAAAAACAGGTGTCAGACTGCTGCTCCACACCAGGGATGGACCAGCACCAGGACCCAGTGCAGTCGGTATGGCCCACACAGCTGGCAGCAGAATTACGCCTACCACCCCTGCACAATCCTTTGGGTGATTCAGCTTTGAGACCGCATTGCCCAGAAAGGTGCAGAGCCCCTTCGCAAAGTACTTTGTGTCCAGTGACTGGAGGGGTCCTTCTGAGGACCCAAGTGTCCCTAGGGCACAAGGCTGCTACAGCAGCAGGTAGCCAATATCGCAGGTGGGCATCGAACACATGCACCACACACATGCCTACCAGAGCCTGAAGCATTTCGTTTCCAGCTGCTTCCCCATTTTAACCCAAGTGTACCGTGTATTGCATTTAGCTTCACAAGTATTTTCAGTTCTCCTGGACTGTTTCAATGAGAAGATCCCCAGCACAGGGCAGTCACAGCTCAGTACCTTTTCCTGTAAGAGATACTAACAGACTACATGCAAATTCTCACCCTCCAGACTGGCAAGCTGAAGCGTTACTACACAGATCTCGAAGCCCTTGCAATGGTAACTGCTGCTCTGTGCCACGATATTGACCACAGGGGAACCAACAACCTTTACCAAATGAAGTAAGCACTTCCCTACCACTTCAAACCATTTACTGTTGCTCTTGCGTGGAGTGGGATCAGGCTGTGATCACACAAAACTCCAGTACAGCTCTGTTTTATACACAGGGGTAACAACCTTCTTTTGCAAATAACCTTGCTTTTCAGCCTGCTACAGCACTTGGGCTTATGCTTTGGCCAGTGGGGGAAACTGAAATTTTCCGGTGCTCTCTGAGGCTTTCTTTACCTCCTAGTAAATCTCCTTTGGTAAAGCAACAATCTACGTTACCATTACAGGGTGGAACAGGTGCTGTGCAGGCATTTAGTAGCCTGAGCATCATAGGAGACTGAGGATGCCACCAGGAGCATCCTGGACATAAGAACCCTACTTTTTTCTGGAAGGTATCTATGGAGAAAGCACCATGCATGGCACTACCCTCACCACCTGCAGAAACAAAGCACATACGAGTATGAGGGTGCTGCTTTTAGTAGGTAGTTACTAGCTACAGAACAGCCTCACTGTTTTCTGGAGCTTTGGAAAAATGTAAATGAAGCTGGCTGGTGTTTTGCATACAAGAGGGTCTTGCTTTTCAGCTAGGAAAGTATTCAAGGGCTGCTGATTTTTCTGTTCCTATTACTAGATATCAACATGTAGTTATTCAGGAATTAAACAAGCTTACTATGCTGAGTAATAACAGTCCAGTCATAAAAACCATTTTGGATGAAATTTGTAATTGGAAGACTGTTTTATACAGTGTCCAAATAGTTATAAGCAATGTCACAGAAGTCTTTTACTAGATTGAAGTCATTAGCTATTAAAAATATTACTCGTAAGCCTTTTAAAATTAGTTGAACTTGTGTGTGTGACAAAATTAAAAATAAAATGGGACACTTCTTTTTATTTTTAAGTGCTGCACTAACATCTTTAATTTTCCTTTACGCAACCAGATCTCAAAATCCTTTAGCTAAACTCCATGGATCCTCAATTTTAGAGAGACATCACTTGGAATTTGGAAAATTCTTGCTCTCTGAAGAGGTTGGTAGTGAACTATAATGAAAGGAGATGAATAATTTACTTTCAGGGAAGTTTTTCAGCAACAACAGAGCTTAGCACAAGACCTTTCTCTGGTTTGGATACCTGAGGAACTGCAGCTGCCTCACTCCCCAAGTACTCTATGCTAACCCAGGACCAAAACGCAAAAGCTTCCTTAATGCATGACTTAGTTTCTTCAAAAGCCACATTATCCCTGTAGGAATATGTTAAACACAGGATTGTCCTCCTGTAACCCCTCTGACAGGGCCAAGACTGACACACTTCCCCAGCTAACTTTTCATTTCAGGCAAATTCACACTGGGGCCAGGGACCAGGGTTTGGGCATACACTGTGTAACAAGCTTCAGGACACTGACCCTGTTCAGTGAACAAAAGGGGAGACTAGGCACCAACATACAGTGAACGGGGCTCACAACCCTTGCACCTTAGGGGAGCAAGCTGAAGCTATTAAAGTAAAAAAAAGTGAGCACATTTGCGTAAGGGAGATTGCCAGTAACTCACAACAACACAGTGCTTGGATTTTGCAGCTCCCTTTCCTTTGCTTTTCAGTCGCTGAATATATGTCAGAACCTCAACCGCAGACAGCATGAGCACATGATTCATCTGATGGATATTGCCATTATAGCAACAGACCTGGCACTCTACTTCAAGTAAGTTGGTCACGTACACCATGTGTGAAGGGCAGAAAGCAGCTGGTACTTTACAAAGGCAAAACGTGATGCTTTGCTCTGAGAGCCCCCCTGTGCAGCAGTCCTCTTCGCAGACACTGCCTCTGGGGGGCTGCCTTTAATACTGACATCAAAGCTGGTGGGGACAACTCAAATCGTTCAGAAGAATCTTGAACTTTTCCTCATTAGATCACATATGTGACTTTTTAACCCTCTATTTCCAACAAGGCAGTGCTATATGATCCCCTAATGGAAAGAGATGTCTGATTTTTTTTTTTTTACCTAGCACTTCAGCACTAAAAATACTCATAAATGGCGAATGACCTGGCCAGGGTTACATTAACTTCTCTGGGAGAGCAGTACAACCCAAATAATACTTGGTCCATTGTAGGTGAATATCCAGTTCATAGTCTATTTCACACCCAAAAATGCCAAACATCTTGGAGCAGCATGCACTGACTTCCTGGGACATAAGGCTGGAAGTCAACAACGTATGAATTCCTAATTAACAAGGAGCTCTCAAAATGTGCTTTCAAAATACAGTGCCGAGAACAGAGACTGCTTCTTTGTTTTGCACTGAAGAATGATTATGCAAAATATAAACAGTCCACAAAAGAGGAATATGAGGGAGGGTGCAACACCCAGTCCTCTTACTCCGGAGGTAGGGTGGCTATATGGGAGCAGATACCCCCACTTCCTTACCAGGTGGGAACAAGACGGTCTTTGCCCTCCTTGGTCCATGATCTGCAAGCGAAGGCTTCATTGAGATCAGACCCAGGCAAAACGACACGGAGAGAACACGTACACAAGTCGCTTTGTAGATCTGCCCTAAACGTCTTCTCTGCTAGCATTGAAACAGCAGAGAAAAACATATTTCACACCACTCAAAACATGGGTGTGTTGTGTATAAACCCCTCCCCAGAGTTTGCTACGTATATTTAGGTATATAAATAAGCTTAACAAGGTCAGACTAAGTATATAAAGCCAGGTAGCTTTACAAATACTCCAGCCAGCTCTAGGTTTCCGCAGTTTGCTTAACATTCAGGGAAAAAGCCTTCCTGTGCTGCCAACAGAGGTGGAAGCATTTCTCAGCTGACATAACTTGCAGTAGTTCATATTTTCGAGTTCCTGCGTATATTTAGGTATATAAATAAGCTTAACAAGGTCAGACTAAGTATATAAAGCCAGGTAGCTTTACAAATACTCCAGCCAGCTCTAGGTTTCCGCAGTTTGCTTAACATTCAGGGAAAAAGCCTTCCTGTGCTGCCAACAGAGGTGGAAGCATTTCTCAGCTGACATAACTTGCAGTAGTTCATATTTTCGAGTTCCTGATGATGTTTTAAAGTCATTTACAATAGTCTCCCCTACTTAAGAGAAGCAGGTAATGATGCTTGGTTTTGTTGGGGCCTTCCTTGAGGACCTAAACGCCAGGACAGTAATTACTGGAAACCCTTCTGGAAGGGTTATCAATACTAGGATCAGCCATCTGTTTTTAACACATTTGTTTCCTTGTTTTGGAGCTTTTTCTGTTGTTTTTTTCCCCCTCAAAGAAAGAGAACAATGTTTCAAAAGATCGTTGACGAGTCCAAGAAGTACGATAGCGTGACTGCCTGGACTGACTACCTGTCTCTGGAGACAACAAAGAAAGAGGTTGTCATGTGAGTAATCGGCTCTGGAAAGGTTAGTGATGCGGTCACCTGGTGAGGGCTCCAGAACATTCCTTGTGCTGTACTTTAGCGCAAAATCAGCACATGATACATTACTGTCCTGTCAAATCTGATCTTCTGGAGAAGCAGGGAAAAAACAGGGAAAAAACTTAAAGCGGTTCTTCATCCAGATAAATGACTGGTTTTGGAGTGTCCTTCCAGTCATACACTCCTAATGAGACGCAGAATCCCTTCTGGCCATATACTCCTACCAGACCACCCTGTAGGCCACAAGCAGAGGCAGGCTGCAATGGCAGATCTACAGGAATCCAATCCATTAGTTGTTCCTCTCAGTGGCACCCAATCTGAGCTGCACAATGCTGCTATTGTGACCGGATAGAAGCTTTGCAGAACGCTTTGCACTGGCGACGAAGTGCACCCACAACCTCACTGCAGTCTGCACTGCTATAGCTCCACGAGGGAGCCAAAGATACTACTCCAAAGTCAAGAAGTTCAGCCCTGCAATGACTAAAGCAGCAAACATCCTAGTGCCAGAAGCAAGCAGTTCCCTATCATAAACCCATTTTAATCAAGAGAGCAATCCTTGGTGAGTGTCCCAGTCAAAGCCAAGGCTGTTATAGCAACCCGTCTTTCTTTATCGATCACTGCAGCAGGCACCGGGGCATACCTTACACAATGTTGGGGTATGAGCATCCTGAGTCTGTAAGAGCTAGGGTGCAGGCGGTGGGGAAGAAACTAATCTATTTCCTGTTTTTAGGGCCATGATGATGACTGCCTGTGATTTGTCAGCAATTACAAAGCCTTGGGAAGTCCAGAGTAAGGTCAGGTGCTTGATAGACTGTTAGATTTCTCTAGCTTATACTTCAAAGTAATGCAATTTCCTAAGCTGCCTAGAAGCTGAATCAAAGTCTCCTACCAAAACTACCAAAAGGACTTTGGAATAACTATGGTTTTGATGGCTAAATTAATCTTTAAGATTGTAGTTGTGAATTCTGTAGAAAATTCATGTTTACCAAAAAAGAACAAAACCCTAGTATTTAGCTTCTTGGGTTACAGTGAGGTTTTTTGCACGTAACATATGGGTTGGTTTTTTTACAGCAATACCTGCTGTTTGCTCTGTTGTTTGATTTCCTTTAGGAGTTCCTTCCTTAAGCAATTGCTAAGTAAGAAACATTAAAATTTACAGGAGGATAAAAGAAATAAAACCCACCTTCCTGTTCCGCATGGAGAAAGGACAACTGAGAAATCATAATAGGCAGCCACAACTGTGACCAAGGCAAATCCTTGAGGGGGACACGTCGGAAACATTTCTTAATAGATGAGCAGTGGACTAATGAGCTCCAGTGCAATAAGGTTGTTGAGCTGTCACTACATGGGTGCAATCCCATTGCTACTGCTGCCCTTCCCCGGAGGAAGGCTGGGGCTGGGGTTGGACATGAAGCGACAAAGGGGCTAGAAGTGAGATTTGCTTCATGGTGGAGACCTGAAAGTGCATCAAGTTATAAAGCCAAAGTCATTGCTAACTTTTCTTTTTCCCTCCTTGGCAATGTAGGTAGCTCTCCTGGTAGCAGCTGAGTTCTGGGAGCAAGGAGACTTAGAAATAAGCGTCCTTCAGCAACAGCCTATTGTAAGTATCATGCGAGAGCCAGACAGTTCAGTTCAGACAGCAAGTCTCAGCAGAGACTTACTACAAGCGATGCTGCTCTCAGAGCGCTGTGAGTCTTCCTGAAATCACCATGCCTGCCAAAATCCATCGGAAAAGTGGGTACTCAGCTAGGGAAGACCCTCTGTGACAGAGCCTCTTGTCCAGCTCTCCATATAGTTAGATGAGTCCCAGTGGCTGTGAACCAGCAAGGAGTGACCGTCCCCCTGGAGATTTTGTGCTGATCCCTTACAGAAAAAAGGAAAATGAAATACATACATCGTAGAGGAAAGCAGAGTTTCCGATAAAGAGAAAAACTACAAACACAAACTTTGTAGAGTGCAGAAATTATTTCTAGTAAATGGAAGTGCGTTAAAGCGGTGTTTCTTAACATATTTTTTCTGCTATAATAACAAATACTTACATTTGGCATTGAAAGAGCCAAGAGTTATTCCTTGATGCGGCCTCCGCCTGTGTGGTTTGGGTTTTCTTTAAGCAGGCTTTCATATACCCCCTCTACCCACAGAGGCATCACAAATGATACAGTAAGCAACGAGGCCTCATAAGAATATAATTTTATGTTCAGTAATGTTTTAGAGAATTGAAAACCTCTTCAGCACTTTATAACATCAACCTTCTCTCAGGTATCTGCGTGAGAGGCGCAAGGGAAAAACTCTCTGTCCTCCTCCCCACCCACAGATGCTGAAAGAGCTGTCTAAAATTTCTGCTAAAATGGCAGAGGAAGTGAGCTCACTTCACTCCTCTGCAGAGGAGGAAGAGGGCTGTGATGGACAGCCTTTATGGACGGCATGGCAGAACTGCCAGGTTGACACAACAAGGCAGTTTTGGGGAGAAAATAGAGGTGTGTTTTTCAATGCAGTATTCTCATAAGTCATGGTGAACTTGTGTCCTCCCACAGCCCATGATGGACCGGAGGAAAGCTGCTGAGCTTCCAAAGCTTCAAGTGGGTTTCATCGACTTTGTGTGCACGTTCGTCTATAAGGTAAGCAAAGCGCACCCTTGCACACCCCACCCTTCTCAACAGGGGTTCAAATCCCAGGTGAGTGAGTCCCGGTGCAGTAGAGGAGACAACAGCTGCCCCTCTCTGGGGCATTGCAGCATAGTTCCACTTTGTGCCCATAACGCTTTACCTGCATGAGCCAGCCTGGGAGACGAGATGTCAGGGTCCATCCTGGGGTATGATGGACAAGCACTGCCTCTGCGCCTCTGATGGGTGTGTTTTGGTTAGGAATTTTCCCGTTTCCATGAGGAAATTCAGCCTATGCTTGATGGGCTGCTGAACAACAGAAACGAGTGGAAGACCCGTGCTGATGAGTATGATGCAAAAATGAAAGCTCTGGAGGAAGAGAAGAAAAAAGAGGAAGAGAAGATGGCTGCAAAGACAGGTCAGAAACAATACTTAGCTTTTCATTCCTAACTCAAAACCACACATATGCCATACTCTCCCAGACCTGCAGCAAGCTTTGCTGACACGGCAAAGAGTCAGATACCCAGAACGAGTTTCCTCAATCTTGCTCCACTGGCAAGGTTGAAGACACCTTGTCTTCAAACCTGACACCATGACAGGCTGTCAAAAAGGCTACCTGCTCAACTGCCCAGGAGTAGTGCCTGAGAAACTAGTGAGACTACATTCAGCACAAGCGCCCATGCAGCTCAGGACA